TATTATTATTATTATTCGTGGGGGGTTGGAGGGTGCTCTGGAGTGGGATGCTCATGCATTTGTTACTCTCTTGTAACATCTAATCGTCGGCACTTATTTGACATTATGTTGCAAGTACATGATGCACTGTAAATCTCTCCAAAAAAACTAATACCCAGCCTCTTCTCCACACAGCTTTTCCTCATCGGCCCGACCACCAGAGGAGGAAAAAGCCGAAGACATCCCTGTTGGCAGCAACAACAGCAACAGCAACACCAGCACTAGCACCCCCGCGGCGCCCGGGCCCGCCCCCAGCGCCACCAAACACCGGCGGGACAGCGCCAACAGCACCTCCAGCCGCGGCAGCCACAAGTCCACCAGCTCTTCCACCTCCAACACCAAAAAACCCCGTCGTTCTTCCAGTGCCAGCAACAACAACAACAACAACAACAATAATAATAGTAGTAGTAATAATAACAATACCAACATCAACCCCACCAGCAGTAGTAGTAGTAGCGGTAGCAGCCTCAGCAAGAACAACGTCAAAAATGATGCCACGGTGAGTTGGCCATGTCTCTGTCTGTCTGGGTTTTAAAAAAATTTGTAATTCCTCATACATCAAAATTAAACGAACGAATTATTAAATTAACAAACAAAGGGGGTCAAGTGGGCAAAAGGTACAGTTTTCGCCTCTCATTCTGTTTGAAACCTGACAACGACAGAACATTTTCTTCTCTGAAATTTTCTCCTTTCGCCCCCTTTCTTGCTCCCTAACCATGTTCTATCGTCCGCTTTCGTTCCCCCTTTCTGCCCCCTCCCCCTTTGCCCCCTCCTCTAGGCTCCTGACTCTTTTTTTTCTGCCTCTCTACTTCTACTCCTTGGTTCCTTCTTATTGCTGTCTTTCTACCACACCCCTGATCTTCATCCAGTGCCAGATCTGCGGCAGACTTCGGCGATCATGGTTCTCCATTCATTCCTTTTCAAAAAAGCTACGCTTCCTTGATCTTTACGCTTGATCCATTTGTTTAGGTTCCTTAAGTAGTTTGTTCTGGGCCTACCCCTGCCTTGTTTTGCCAGTGAGAACTTGCTGTTCAAAACTTTTATGTCTATTCAGGTGTCCCAATAACTGCATTTTTCGTTTCCTGATTGTTTTTAACAGTGAGCGTCCCACGTGGGCTTCATGAAGCTCTACCTCATTTGATTTCTTTTCTTTCCTCTATATTCTCAGCAAGTCTCCTAAGAAACCACGTTTCTGTTGCTTCTATTTTATTTTCACTGTCTTTAGTGATTGTCCTGCATTCACAGCCATAAAGAATGGGTGGCCATACTTAGCATTATATCAGAACTTTGATTTTGGTAGTCATTGAGATGTTTCTATTTTTCACCGGCCCCTGATCATGGGGTAAGTAAAATCTAACAATCAAACACCAAGCCCTGCCATCCTCAGAGTGAGTCTCAGTCCCATGTGGTTTCCAACGGGCCCACGGACCCCGGTACTCTTCCCTTCAACATCTACGTCAATGGAAACGCCGGCCCCAGTGTCTCGAGCGGCAACAACAGCAGCAACAACAACAGCAACAACAACAGCAACAGCTCCAACAGCAACAGGGTTGGAAACAGCAAACCCGCGGCCAACCTGCCCTCACCCCCGCCTGTGGAGACTCAGTGAGTAGAGTTTGGGTTTTTGGTTGTCGTTTCTAGCGTTTTCGTCAGTTATCTCGTATCTCTGTCTGTCTGTCTGTTATTCTGTCTGTATCTCTGTTTGTCTCTGCCCCCCTCCCCCCTCTTTTCCCCTCATTCTATCTCTCTCTATCTGTCTGTCTGTCTGTCTGTCTGTCTGTCTGCCTGCCTGTCTGTCTGTCTGTCTGTCTG